AAATTTAAATCTTAAGTTTAAAATATTACAAAATTGTGATGGATGGTTTGAAAAACCAACAAGTTGAAGATTGAACACTTATGCAGCATATGGGAATCTTTATTCAGGAAACGTTTTGCCACACAGTGGGCTTCATCAGCCCAAATACAAAGAGGAAGGCGTAAGGAGATTAGAAGTATGAGGTAATCAGTCCCTCAGCCTGGAGTCGATGTGTTCAGTCCATCAATCTTGTAGAATGTACAGCATAGGGGCCGTAAAACGTGGCTTATAACTGTAGGGAGGTAAAGGTGAAAGCAGGCGGAGGGGGGGTCATAGTGGTACCATCCACTAGCGAAGTAGGTCATCGTCCAAAGGTTGCAAAAAGTGGTTGAAGAATTCTTTGAAACAAGATCCCATGTTTGCTGCAGTTCTGACAGTTGTGATAATGGTTTGAAAAACCGACAAGTTGAAGATTGAGACCTTATGCAGCATTTTGGAATCTTTATTCAGGAAACTTTCGCCACACAGTGGCTTCATCATCCAATACAAAGAGGAAGGCGTAAGGAGAGGAGAAGTATGAGGTATCAGTCCCCCCAGCCTGGAGTCGATGTGTTCAGTCCATCAATCTTGTAGAATGTACAGCATAGGGCCGTAGCCCGTGGCTTATATACTGTAGTGGTGAGGTGAAGCAGGCGGAGGCGGGGTCATAGTGGTACCATCCACTAGTCGAAGTAGATCTTCGCCCAAAAGGGTTGAACAAGTGTTTGAAGAATTCTTTGAAAAAAGATCCCATGATGCTGCAGTGTCTGACAGTTGTGATGAAGGGTTTGAAAAACTGACAAGTTGAAGATTGAGACACTTATGCAGCATATGGGAATCTTTATTCAGGAAACGTTTCGCCACGTTTCAACCTTTGGACGAAGACCTACTTCGACTAGTGGATGGTACCACTATGACCCCGCCTCCGCCTGCTTCACCCCCCACCTCACTACAGTAAAATAAGCCACTCTACGGCCCTATGCTGTACATTCTACAAGATTGATGGACTGAACACATCGACTCCAGGCTGAGGAACTGATTACCTCATACTTCTCCTCTCCTTACGCCTTCCTCTTTGTATTGGACTGATGAAGCCACTGTGTGGCGAAATGTTTCCTGAATAAAGATTCCCATATGCTGCATAAGCGTCTCAATCTTCAACTTGTCGGTTTTTCAAACCATTCATCACAACTGTCAGACACTGCAGCATCATGGGATCTTGTTTCAAAGAATTCTTCAACACTTGTTCAACCTTTGGACGAAGACCTACTTCGACTAGTGGATGGTACCACTATGACCCCGCCTCCGCCTGCTTCACCTCACCTCACTACAGTAAATAAGCCATGTCTACGGCCCTATGCTGTACATTCTACAAGATTGATGGACTGAACACATCGACTCCAGGCTGAGGGACTGATTACCTCATACTTCTCCTCTCCTTACACCTTCCTCTTTGTATTGGACTGATGAAGCCACTGTGTGGCAAAACGTTTCCTGAATAAATATTACAAAATTATGAGGTTAGTTGGTATTATGGCTAAGTGACTAAATACAGTGGACCCCCGCATAACGATTACCTCCGAATGCGACCAATTATGTTAGTGTATTTATGTAAGTGCGTTTGTACGTGTATGTTTGGGGGTCTGAAATGGACTAATCTACTTCACAATATTCCTTATGGGAATAAATTCGGTCAGTACTGGCACCTGAACATACTTATGGAGTGAAAAAATATTGTTAACCGGGGGTCCACTGTACTAGTTTGTGAGTTTAGCAATGTGAATGCTTTTGTTTTGGCACTATACAAGTTTCAGTATTGGAGTATCACAGGCCAACTTATGACTAGTTAAGATTCATTATTTTGAGATTGAGATTGATATTTCTGTTTATGGTCAAATGGGTGAGTGAGTGTAAGTGTTAACCACCAGGTGGTATTCGTGTAATTATTTGACAGGGTGTATCAGGGAGATAAATGTTTTCTGATGGTAGTTTTTGAAGTGATGAATGTGTCTGCAGTTTTAGAATTTTCAGGTAGGGTGTTCCAGATTTAGGGCCTTTGACATACATTGAATTTTTGTAAAGGTTTTAGTCGGACACGGGGAATGCCCATAGAGATGTTTGTGTCGGGTTGTTGTGCCTGTGGTTCTGTCGAAACTATCAAAAAAGCGTTTTAGGTCAAGGTTAATATTGGAATTTAAGGTCCTGTAGATGTAGATTGCACAGTAGTAAGTGTGGATGTACTGAACAGGGAGTAAGTTTAGATCTATGAAGAGTGGGGGGGGGGGTGTTGCCAGGGATGGGATTTAGTGATTATTCTTACTGCGACTTTTTGTTGGGTTATTATTGGCTTTAGGTGTGTTGCTGCAGTTGAACCCCAAGCACAGATAGCATAGGTGAGGTATGGATATATAAGTGAATGGTATAGTGTGAGAAGGGCAGTTTGCAGCACGTAGTATCATTTCTCAAAGATTTTGGATAGCAATGGTAAGTTTGATATTGGCCTATAGTTGTTTAAATCTGTAGGGTCACCACCTTTATGTATTGGTGTAACCCTTGCCGTCTTGAGTAGTTTCGGGAAGGTGCTAGTTTCTAGTGACTTGTTAAAAAGTAATGAGATAGCATGCGAGAGGACATGGGCCACTCTCTTGTTCAATAATGGTGGGACATGAGACAGATTCCCTGAGTTATTTTTAAGTGACTTTATAATCTCGTGACTTTCCATGGGCTAAATTTTGGAGCAAAAATAAAAAGGAATTTGGGAAATTTCCCATCTAGGTAGTCCCCGGCATGGGCATTGGTGCGTGGGATTTTTATTGGCGAGATTATGATCCAAAGGTTGAGAAGAATCGTTAATCTTGTAGCTGTGTCAGTGGGATGCCAGTGGTGTTTCATTAGGTTAGTTAAGGGCAATATTCTTGGTTTTTTTCAGTTTGTGGGTCCCTAGAATCTGAGAGAGTGTTTTCCAGGTCTTTTTTATATCTCCTCTTTTTGTCATGAATCTACTGGGGTAGTAATATTTGTTTGGCTTTCTTTATTACTTTGGTGAGGACTGATGAATAGTGTTTAAGAGTATCTTTGTGTATTAAGCCCTGTCTAATTGCTTTTCATATTGGTTTTTTCTTATCAATGGATTTCAGAATGGTGCTGGTTACCATGGGCAACCAAGCCATTTGTTTGTGATCTGTTCGTTTTTATAGGGCAATGTTTTTTGTATAGTCTAAGTAATTTGTTATGAAAAATGTCTGTCCATCATCAATACCATTGGCCTTGGAGAATTCTGTAGGCCATCAACAGTCCCCCTAGGTCAGCTGTGAACTTCCTTATTGTGGCCTCAACATGGAGTCTAAATGAAACTTTGTTGTATTCAAGTGGTGGTTTACTAATGTTTGTCAAGAGAAGGTAGGGTAGTGGTCTGTAGTGCTATCTGTGATTATCCCCCGATTTAAGGGGGCTAGTATATTGGTCCATATGTGGGGCTATTATGGTTGCACTTGTTTCAGTGAGCCTGGTTGGTTTAGTTATTGTTGGGATGAGAAGTGTGTTGTTTCATATTGTTGATGAAATCAGTTACAGGCTGATCATCTAGTAGGGCCCAAAGGGTTATGTTGAAGTCTCCAGCTAAGAGAAGGTGGTGCTTATTCAATTTTTTCTGTTTTTTATTAGTTTCCTTTAGTTTTTCTCACTGAAATTTGGATGTTTTGTGGGGTATCCGGTAATGGCACCAATTGTAATAGGCCCCTAAAGTTTTTTACAGTAAAAAATTTGCAAAAAAAGTATTCCCCCATATTCATCACTAAAGCAAGTGGGGCTAATAAAAAGATAATTGGGTTTTGAGTAATAGATTGCAATACCACCCCTAACTTGGTATGGTCTGCAGTTGTGGATTGCTGTGTATCCGGTAGAGGGTAGATATCTATTGTGTCGTGCTTAAGCCAGGTCTCAGTAAAATAATGCAGGAGAAGGGGGTCTTTAGTGATTCAAGGATGCCAGGAGGGCATCATATGTTTGCTTAAGGACCTAATGTTGTAGTTAAGTAACTGATAGACTTTTAGCATTGTTTAGGATATGCTGGCTTGTGATGCTGTGTAGTAAAGGCAGTTACTTTCCAATAGGTTTTGATTGTGTGTCAGATTAAAGGGGGTTTAGAAACAGGGTCAACGTGATCAATCATCTTCTAGGTTTAAATTATGGTTATTTAAAAATCCTGAGTTGTGGGGTTTAGTTAGTACTGATATCTGTAGTGGTGGGGAAATTTGGACAAGTGTAGCTATAGCATTTTTTGGGCATATAGAGTAAAAGTCACTAATACACATAAATGGAGTTGGTGTTGTCTATGTGTTTTGCTGGAATGAGCTAAAGTACAACTAAAGGGATAAACTAATAATATAAAAATACAATTTAAAAATACACAAGACTCTCCACTTGTAATTGCACTAAGGTCTAATTTAATGACTTTGGTATAGTCTATGTATTGAGCTAGAATGAGCTATAGTACAATTAGGTTTAATCTAATAATATAAAAATACAAATTAAAAATAAGCACCAGACTCTCACTAGTAATTACACTAAAGGTCAATAAATGAATTTTGGGATTGACTATGTATTGAGCTAGAATGAGCTATAGTACAACTGAGTTTAATCTAATGATATAAAAAAAAGGGACAAGACTCTCAATTGTAATTGCACTAAGGTGTTATATAAGTTGTTTACAAGAATTTAAATATAACTAGATTTAAGTTGACAAGAAAAAAATATGCAAGTTTAAAGGGAGCAAAATAATAAAAAAAAGTAGAAAAAAAAATATGTGAAGGTAGTTGGGACTAGTTAGCAAAAATAGTTAAGGGCCTTGAAAAAATAATATAAATTGAAATATACACTAATTGCACACACAATATAGTCCCCTAAGATATGAAAACAATCTTAGAATAGGACTTATAATATAAACTTATAATAAAAAATACAAATTGAAATGGTTTCTTGCAATTGCACTAGGGTCTGGTATAGGTTGTTGACAAGATCAAGAGTATAACTAGATTTAAATTGACAAAATAAAATTCACAAATTAAAGTACCAAAAGAATAATAAGTAAAAAATAACAATGGCAATGTCTTGGTTATAATATGATAGTAAGATGGTAGACAGGTACACAGGTACAGAGGCACACAAGTGCACAGGTACACAGGTACAAAGGATAATATAAAGGTTGGAGTTGAATATACAAACTTGGAAATTTGGCAACAAAATGTTATGGGAAGTATAAAATAATGATTAATGTACAAAAGTAAAATTGTCATTGTAAAAGTCACCAGCTTGGATTGCAACAGCTTTCTCAGGGTGATGTTGCTCCACAAATGAATGCACTTTAGTCCACATTGCACAAATCTCCTTAATCTTTGAAGAAGGCACCTTCTTCCATCTCTCTTCCTCCTCCTCTGAAGCAATTTCCTCAGCTGTTGTCTGTAGCTGTTGCAGATGAAGCTCTTGCAGCTCATCAGTGGTTAGCTCTTCATTGTGGTCTTCCACCAACTCTTCCACATCCTCCAAACTCACATCAAACCCCATGGAATTCCCCAATGCCACAATTGATTGCACAACAGGTGTAGGGTTGACAGGGTCAATCTCAAACCTTTCAAAATCCTTTTTTTGGACACAATCTGGCCACAGTTTTCTCGAAGCAGAGTTCATTGTCCTGGAAGTCACTCCCTGCCATGCCTTATCTATAAGGCCTGTTCAGTGGAAAATACTGAAGTGATTCTTCCAGAACTCTCTTAGGGTCAATTCAGAGTCCAAGGTTATGTCAAAGCACCTTTGAAACATTGCTGTGGTGTACAGTTTTTTGAAGTTTGCAATGATCTGCTGGTCCATGGGCTGGAAGAGAGGAGTGGTGTTAGGAGGCAAAAACTTCACTGTTACAAAACAGAATTCCTTAGACAATTGGTCTTCCAAGTCTGGAGGATGAGCAGGAGCATTGTCCATTAACAGGAGGCACTGGAGTGGCAATTTATTATCCAGGAGGTATTTTTTCACACTGGGGGCCAAACACTTCATTAAACCATTCCAGGAAAATTTCCCTTGTGACCCATGCCCTACTGTTTGCCTTCCACATCACACACAATTACTCTTAACAACACTGTTTTTCTTGAACACTCTGGGATTTTCAGAGTGATACACCTGTCTTTTATAGGCTTGTGTCCTGGGAGTGCCTTTTCCTCCTGCGTGATGTAGGTCCTCTTTGGCATTTTCTTCCAAAAGAGGCCTGTTTCGTCACAATTGAACACTTGTTGGTGTTGGAATTTTTCAGACTACATAACATTTGAATTCCCCAACAAATTTTTCAGCCACTTGTTTGTCTGAGCTGGCGCCATCACCGTGCCTTACAACACTGTATATGCCACTTCACTTCTTGAAATTTTTGAACCAGCCTTTACTAGCCTTGAGTTCACTTTCATCACCACTTGTTTCAGGCAGTTTCTTTATGAGATCCTCATGCAACTGCTTTGCCTTTTCACAAATAATGGACTGCACAACACTATCTCTCTCTCTCTGATCCACACCAACAACAATTTCTCCACTTCTTCAGTTGTTTGGGATCTCTGTTTGGTTATTGCATTCACCCCTTTCTCAACATCAGCTTTTGTCTGTGTGCTGGGGACTGAACAGGTTCCGTACGATTGACGAAAACTAAGGTAATCGATGAAAACTAAAGCCAAAAATCGATGAAAAAAGTCGGCCAAAACCAAAATCGGCGATAACTAAGATCGAAGAAAACCAAGGGTCCACTGTATAGGCCAAAAAAAATTTTTTTTTTGCAATCAATACTTACCAAGATATGGAGGTGTGAAGTTGGCAGAAATTGAACTGCTTATGGCATCATTGCCGACTGCTGGTCTCCCGGTAATACAGTGGACCCTCGACCAACGATGGCATCGATTAACGATAAATCCGACCAGCGATACATTTTAACGCAAAAATTTTGCCTCGACTAGCGCTAAAAAACTCGACCAACACTATTCGTTCCGTCTGAGGCGCGTCCACTTCTGGCCAGTGTTTACAAGTCAGCCAGCCACCGCGGTCGCTTCCAAGCATACAATCGGAACATTTCATATTATCACAGCCTTTTTAGTGATTGCACCTGCAAAACAAGTCACCATTGGCCCCAAGAAAGCTTCTAGTGCCAACCCTACAGCAAAAAGGGTGAGAATTACTATGGATATGAAGAAAGAGATCATTGCTAAGTATGAAAGTGGAGTGCGTGTCTCCAAGCTGGCCAGGCTGTACACAAAACCCCAATCAACCATCGCTACTATTGTGGCCAAGAAAACGGCAATCAAGGAAGCTGTTCTTGCCAAAGGTGCAACTATGTTTTCGAAACTGAGATCGCAAGTGATAGAAGATATTGAGAGACTGTTATTGGTGTGGATAAACGAAAAACAGATAGCAGGAGATAGCATCTCTCAAGCGATCATATGTGAAAAGGCTAGGAAGTTGCATGAGGATTTAATTAGAAAAATGCCAGCAACTAGTGGTGATGTGAGTGAATTTAAGGCCAGCAAAGGTTGGTTTGAGAGATTTAAGAATCGTAGTGGCATACATAGTGTGATAAGGCATGGTGAGGCTGCCAGTTTGGACCAAAAAGCAGCTGAAAAATATGTGCAGGAATTCAAGGAGTACATAGACAATGAAGAATTGAAACCTGAACAAGTGTTTAATTGTGACACTGACAATGTTGTGAAACACTTGAGGAATGTCATAAAGGAACGGGAGATACAGGTCTCTATGGACAGATATGTTGTGCGACAGAGGTCCAGTGACTCTCAAGCTGGTCCTAGTGGCATTAAAAGAAGAAGGGAAGTAACCCCGAAAAAGGACTTGCCACCTCAAGTCCTAATGGAAGGGGATTCCCCTTCTAAACACTAACACCATCAACACTCTCCCCTCCTCCCATCCCATCAATCATCACCAGATTTTCAATAAAGGTAAGTGTCATGTAACTGTGCATGTCTTCTTCAGTTTGTGTGTATTAAAATTAATATTTCATGTGTTAAATTTTTTTTTTTTTAATACTTTTGGGTGTCTTGCACGGATTAATTTGATTTCCATTATTTCTTATGGGGAAAATTAACTTGACTAACGATAATTTTGACTAACGATGAGCTCTCAGGAACGGATTAATAGCGTTAGTCGAGGGTCCACTGTAGTTTATTTTGTTTTTTTCTACTTTTTTCTTTTATTTTTTAATATTTTATTTTTTCAAGTAGTTTTTATGGCCTCTGAGACCAATATAAAGACTATATGGTAAATATTCACTCATTGTATACTACACAATAACAGCACAAACTTTGCTGTCATTATATTGTTTACAAAACATGTTTACACAAACTAACAATAAAAAATGTTGTTTATTACTATTTTTCTATCATATATATATACACATATAGAGTCACTGGACAGGTTCCTATAACTGCAAGAGGTTCTGAAAGCTTGTAGTTGTGTGGGGGTGGACTTGTAATTATGCTGAGTCACCGGCATGTCTTGTGTCACAAGATGCATCATACCACCACTCACTAACCCTCACTGCCTTCCACAACACATCCCTTCCTCCCCACAAACCTCTTCCTTCCTTCCTTCCTTCCTTCCTTCCTTCCTTCCTTCCTTCCTACCTACCTACCTACCTACCTACCTACCTACCTACCTACCTACCTACCTACCTACCTACCTACCTACCTACCTACCTACCTACCTACCTACCTACCTACCTTACCTTACCTTACCTTACCTTACCTTACCTTACCTACCTTACCTACCTTACCTACCTTACCTACCTTACCTACCTTACCTACCTTACCTACCTTACCTACCTTACCTACCTTACCTACCTTACCTACCTTACCTACCTTACCTACCTTACCTACCTTCCTCTCATCTCTTCCTGCCTACCTTCCCTTCTTCCTACCTACCTACCTTCCCTCCCTCCTTCCTTTCTTCCTTCAAGTAACTTTTATGGCCTGTGAGACCAATATAAGGTATATTGAATGTATATTCACTCATTGTATGCTACACAACAACTGTACAGTCATTATATTGTTTACAAAACATGTTTACACAAACCAACAATAAAGAATGTTGTTTATTACTATTTTTCTATCATATATACACACACACACAAAGTCACTGGACACTTCCCAGAACTGCTACAGCTTCTGTAAAGCTTGTAGTTGTGTGGGGGTGGACGTGTAAATATGCTGAGTCACTGGCATAGTGTCACAATGACAAATCACACCATCATTCACCACCCTCACTGCCTGTCAACACCCATCCCTTCCTCCCTACCCCACCAACCCACATGGAAATAAGTCACTGTCTGAATTTTTTGGGTTATCCTAGGTTAATGGTCTCCTTCTTTCCTTCCTCTCATCTCATCTCATCTCTTCCTTTCTTCCTCTCATCTCTTCCTTCCTCTCATCTCTTCCTTCCTTCCTCCCTTTCTTCCTACCTTCCTTCCTTCTTCCTTCCTTTTTCCTTCCTTTCCTTCTGGTTTCCTGGGCATTGCTTTCAATCATAAACTCCTCAAAAACCATGAAATTCATCTTCACTGACACTTCCATCTGTGTTTGAACTGTCACTTGGGAACAAAAGAGCCCCAATTTGCCGAGGAGTGAGGAGTTTCTTAGCGCTTGACATGGTGAACAAGGTGTAATAAAATGGCTTTCTCACAGTGCACCACTGGGTCCCCGATTTTTTTTTATACTACGCACACTGACCACAGAGACCCATTCTCTCACATCTAGGCCTACCAGCCTTCTCCAGCTTGATTTGAGGACGCTAGAATTTATGCGAACTAGTACGTCAATAACCCTGGCGTGTAAGATGTACTAGTACGTCAAAAACCATGAAAGGGTTAAACCACAAGTATGGTTGGAGTTTTTTTCTCATTATGCACTGCGTGCTGTAGGATTTTTTTTTTATACTGCACACACTGACTATTCAGACCCATTATCTCACATGTAGTGTACCAGCTTTCTTTTGCAAGATTGGAAGCCACTATAATTTTGGCGTAATATTATGGCACCAACACGGGCTTGCAAGCCATAATACGTTATTATGACACCGACAGTGAAAGGGTTAAGCCCTGTCTTTATTGCTTTTCATATTGTTGTTTCTTATCAATGGATCATAGTATGCTGTTAGCCATGGGCAACCTTGCTGTTTATTCATAATCTGCTTTGTTTTTATGGGCCCAGTGTTTTTATATAGTCTAAGAAAATTTTTTAAAGAAAATGCCCTATAACATTATAACTTTTTTTAGTATTTTTTTTAAATTTTTATACAGTAGGTATGAAATACTGAAATTTAAAACAGAATAGGGGAAAATCAGCTTAAAAAAACATTACTTAGTTTGCATATGGTTGGGAGCTATTCGTAAGTTCGAGCAGTCATTAAGTGGGGGAATATTTTGTAATCTTCCTTTATGTCAATGAATCAAAAACACGGAATACAAAAAAAAAAACCCATACAAAAAATTCCCCCAAAAGGGTTGCTTTTTTAAAAACCAAAAACAGGGATGCTTTTTTTCCCCATTATCCCACGGGCCCTTCCCCCCCTCCCCCCAAGGAATTTTTTTTTATTTTTTGGTCACCCTTCCAATGCTTTGCCCCCATTCTCTCATATCTAGGCCCAAAATTTACCACCACAGCTTATATGAGTGAGCTGGCCTATGGGGGGTAGTACTATGGACCAACAATGGCCCCAAAAAACCGAGAAAACCCCACCACCACCCCAAGCCTTTTTAAAAACCCCTTTTCGGGGTTCCCGGGCCCCTCCCAGACTTTTTCCCCGGGGGTTCCCCAAATTAAAAAAAAAAAAATATTTTTTTATAAAAAGGGATAGAGAATTTTTCCCCAAAATCATAAGGGACACCAAAGAAATGAAATTTGAGGGAAAAATTTAAGAATTATGCTCTCCCCGAAGTTAGGGGCTCGACGATGTTTACGCATCGGAAATTTTTCCCACTTTGACCCTATTTTCGGCCAAATTCCAGTTTTCTATTCGAAAAAAAATCTTAACAAATTTCCCCTAGAATTTTCCTTTTTTTTTCTATAAATAAAATGATTTACAAGAAACCACCCATTTTTCCGATTTCAACACCCCTACAGGGGTCAAAATTTTAGCAATTTTGCCAATTTCACAAAAAATTTCAGAAGATGCCATTTCCAAATAGGGTCCAAAAAAAATAAGAAAGACATTCCGGGCACTAAAAAAACTTTTCCCTCTTCATTTTCTTTGTCCCCTTTCCCCTCTTACATTCTTTTGTTTTTCCACTTTGAATTTTTATTCTCACAAAACAAAGAAGATTTACGTTTATAAAAACCCGCGCCTTGTGAAAGAATATTGGGATTTAAAAACCCAAGGTTGTTTGGTATTAGACACTTGCTTGATTTGTTTACTTTTAAAACTTTGGTAAAAATCGAACTTTCTGCTATTTTTGGCCCCAATTTTAAAGGGTTTATTTTTCATTTTTAAAACCCCCCCCCCAAACCATCTAAATTTCTGTAAAAATGTTTTCCCATTTATATAATGAACCGGGGAAAAACTAGAAAAACAAAAAAGAAATCAATAAAAAATTACAGGCAAAGTCGCTTTTTTAATCCAAAAACACGGTCAAATTTTTTTTTTTTTCTCTTTTACACACTATGTGCTGCAGGTTTTTTTTTTTTATGCTGCGCCCCACTGCCCCACATAAAAACCCTTTTCTTTCATTTTTTGGCCCTACCAATTTTTCTTCACTAGATTTGAGGGTGTAGAATTTAGACGTACTAGTACATCAAAAAACCCGGGTTTGCGTAAGCCGTACTAGTATATCCAAAAACCCTAAAGGGAAAAACCCCTTTTTAGGGCCCCTTTCCCGAAAGTTTTAGGGTTTTAAAAGCCAGGGCCCAAGCTTTTTTGTATTATGTATGACTCAGCTCACTCGCTCGGGGTAAGCTGAAAGCAAAAATTTTTGGGCCTGATATAGAAAATTTCATCAATGTGGTTTTGTCCCCCACAAAAAAACAAATCCTCCCCAAAATTCGTGCAAAAAGAAAAAAAAAACTGCAACCAGTTTTTTGGTTTAAAAACAGGACTTTGAAGTGTATTTTTTTAGGGTTTTTTTAAACGGTTACTTTCGCAGTTTTTTATCCTCATCGATGAATGGGGAAAAAATTTTACAAAAAACAAAGATGACTGATTTGCCTTTGAAATTGATCAAATTAAGCAGAAATGTTCGTTTTTTTGCTGATGTTCAAGAGCAGCAGACACTTTACAACCCAAAATACAAGTCCTGGTGGGTTTCTAATGTGCGTTCATGAATGCCTGTAAAGGGGGAATTTTCAGTTTTGGGGGTCTCCCCCCCAAAAGGTTTTAATGTAATATTGTTAAAAATTTTCCCTTCCCCTTTTTAAATTGGTTTTTTCCTTTCTGAAATGCATTCCCACTAGTATGGGTGTAGGATTTTTCTTTTTACTTGAAGCTATATGTTTTGAAGGGAAATTTTGAAGAAAAACCCAAAACCCAATGAACTTAATGTTTTTTGGACAAAATTTAAAAATTTTTTTTTAAAAAAAATTTTGGCAAAATTTTCTCTTTCTTTTCTTTTTTTATTTTCTAAAAATTTTGGAAAAACATAATCAACTTTTTAAAAATTGCCCCCTTTTAAATAGTATTACATATTTTTCGACAAAAAACAGACGTTGAAGTCCCAGAGGGCTCATGAAATAAATGTTATTCTCTGTCAAGTAAAAGGGGAAAATTTTCCGAGTATATATTTTAGAGCTTCACCATGGAGACTTGTGTTTTTTCAAGTGAGAAAAGAGATTTGGGTTAATTGTTTTAATGCGTATAATTTTTTAAATTTATAGACAAATATATATTTCGAAAATTTTTGAAATTTGGTAGAGTTGTACCCCCGGTTTTTTAAACCCATTCATGGGGAAATTTGAAGTAAAAAGGAAAAGCATGTTTATATCAAGCTTTTTTTTTTTTTTCCCTTAAAATGTGATTTCTTTTCCCTTTAGTGAATTTAGTTTTTGATGTAGATGTAATATGTTTTACAATGACTTTTATTTTTTGTACCTTTTTTTTTCATTTAAATTTTAACTGATGTTGCTTTATAAACCCCAAAAATTTTCACCCCCCAAAAATTTAGTTTTTTGAGATGTTTAATAAAATTTTTTTCAAATTGTAGTACAGTTTTTCCCTTAGACCAGAAGTTTTAAAAA